TCTTCATGTTAAGGTATTAGGAAATTAATTATCTACAGATCTCAGGAGTATTTGCATTTTAAAGGAAAATTGCAGAGAAAAGACAATGCCTGGCCATCATAAATTACTCATTAATTATGGAATTCCAGATATCTGTGGGAAGATATGTAAAAGTGATGAGAACGAGAGAATGCTCTCAAATCATACAATGGATATGATGATCTTATCTATTTATTTATCTGGATGGGCAGGAGATTGAGATAAATTATGTATTTGAAGACAACCATTATATCTTCTGGGATTTAGGAGATGTTTAAAAATGTCTCGGTAGGGCAGCACCCGGTGGCTCAGTAGGTTAAGCATCTGACTTGATTTCCGCTCAAGTTCTGATATCAGGGTTGTGAGACTAAGCATGACACATGCTCCACATAGGGCATGGAGTCTGCTTAAGATTCTCTCTCTCTCCCCGTCTCTCTGCTCATTCCCCTCCCAAAGAAAAGTCTTGGCACACGGTAAGTCTTATTAATATTTTTTAAGTAAATAAATGATTATACTCTTTGTTTTACCTCCAGTAAAATTTTAAAGAAATTCTTTGGAGATACAAGAATAAAGCAGAAATCTCAGAAATCTCTGATACCTGTGTTGCGATCTCCAAGCCTTTGCTTTAACTTTGGCAGAAAAGTGGTGCCTGGCAAGTATTTCTTTTATTCAGGAATATTTCCCTAGTCCCCTGCAGGTGGGCAGGGTTATGTGAATATTTTGACCAATGAAATGGGAGCAGAAATGGTGTCTGTTGCTTCTAAGCTAAGACAGTAAAAAGTTCATGCATGAGTTTGCAAGGTCTCTGAGGTCTCTGTTCTAAGGCTGAGCAGGTTGTCAGTTCAAAAGAGCACAACTATGAGATAACAGAATGTCCATTAGCCAAGGTCTCTGAATGTAAGCTGCTGAGATCTTGAGGTTGTCTGTAGTTGTAGCACAGCCTAGCTGGTCCAGATCATTACAGTATTTAACCATATTGCTTTATGGTAACTTTGTTACATATCTACTATACCACTTTAACTAGTTAATCCTGACTCATTTTTTGTAGCTTTGTTGTAAAATGACACATAGTGGGAGAAACCATAATGATGTAAGAGTATTTTTTGAAAAGTTAAAGATTAGACTATAAATTTAAGATAGTTAAGTGTGGTGACAAGACTGGTATAATTTAATTTAATTCAATGCATGTACTGAGCAATAAAATTCTGTGGTATGCTCTGCACTGTCAATACAAATATGAGTTGGTAATAATAACAATTACATCATTAATGATTATAAATAAGATGATATTAATAGTTATAATTGTCAAATAAATATATTATGAGATAATAGAAAATATATATTAGTCTCTGTCCCCAGTTCTTGACACAGAGCTCCCCAAACTCTTGTAATTCTCTAAGTAATAAGAACTATAGAAACATTTTTTGCTCTAATATAATACTTGTCATTGACTCCATCTCTGATATAGGTCTCCTTAAACTCTTATAAATTCCTAAGTGATAGGAGCACTTGGGGTATCTTTTATTCTAATGAAGTAACTCTTGGTGAGCTCCTGGATTATTCCTAGAGGGGGGCTGTTCACTAGAAAGACCAAGCAAGGATTAGAAGCTTGAAACTTTCAGCCTTGCCCCTCATTCCCCAGAGAGAGGAAAGGGGCTAGAAATGGGAGTTGATGATTGACCATTCCTATCTGAGGAAGCCTCCACAAAATTCCAGTAGTACGGGTTCAGAGAGCTTCCAGGTTGCCAAACCCAACCACACTGGAAGAGTAAAGGAAGCCCCCGACTCCATAGGGACAGAAGCTCCTGTGGTCAGGATCCTCCCAGACCTTGCCCTATGTACTTCTTCATCTAAATGTTCATTTATACCCTCTATAATATCCTTTAATAAACTGGTAAATGTACGTGTATCACTGAGTTCTGTGAGCCCTCTTAGAAAATTAATTGAACCCAAGGAGGAGGTTGTTGGGACCTTAGATCTATAGCTGGCTGGTTCAGAAACGTAGGTGATAACCCAAGGTTGCTACTGGCATCTGAAGGGTTTAGGTGTAGGTGTTTGGGGAATAGGTAACCTTATGGAGCTGAGCCCTTAACCTAGGGGATCTGATGCTATCTTCAAGTAGATAGTGTCAGAATTACATTAAATTGTAGGATACCCAGCTGGTGTCCCAGAGAATTGCAAGGTATAAGGAGAAACCTCCACAAATTTGGTGACCAGAGTGAAATGTTTTGTGTGAACAGCAAAGGAGACGTCACAAAGAATAAATGCGTAATGAGGAAGGACAAGGTTTTTCCCTACACAGGAGAGGGGAAAAAATGAGTTTTTCTTTTACAAATGTACTAACTGAATACTTGATAATTTATTTCTGGCTGAACAAAATCAAGAGATGACATGATAAATGTCTAGAGGTCTGGTTTTCAGAATAGATGTCAAAGCAAGAATGATCTCAATCTCCTAAATTTGCCAAATCCTAAAATGTGAAAATAACTTATACGAAGTAATATTGCCAAAGAGTTTTATAGAGAATTACATTTTCCCAAATATTTTACATCCATTATTTCAACTGATCCCCATAACAGCCTCTTGAATTAGATAGATCGGAGATAACACTAATAATTTACTTATTCTTTGTAGGTGGAAACTGAGACTACAGAATATTGACATGGCTTATCAATAGTCACACGTGACAACTGGTAAAGCAAACACTAAGCAGCTCTGGTAAAAGGGTTTATGAGAAATTTTCTGTGACATGTATATAAATGAGCTCAAGTTAAGTTTATTTTCCACCTTAATAGCCAGGCTTTTTATATCAACCCTCTCTCCCCCATCTATTATAATAAGTACACAAAGTATAAGCCAATACATTAAAACATATATCCAATTGTAATCAGTTTCTAAGAATTTTCCATTTCCTCCACATAATGAGGATTTGATTATATCAGCATTGTAATTTTTTTAACATTGGTCAAACATGATATTCCATATAAAATAGAAAGCCCACTTCTTTCTTTAATAAAGGAAGGAAGGAAGGAAGGGAGGAAGGGAGGAAGAAAGGAAGGAAAGTAGAGAGTGTGGAGGGAGAAAAGGAGGGAGGAAGGGAGAGAGGAAGGAAGGGAGGAAAGAAGAACGTGTGGAGGGAGAGAGAGAGGAAGGGAAGGAGGGAAGGTAGGTGGGAGGAAGAGAAGGAAGGGAAAAGGGAAGAAAAGAAGGGAGGAAGGAAGGAAGGAAAATAGATTTTTTGTGTATGAATAAGAGACAAGGCATTTGACAGAAAATCCATTCAACTGGACATCTTGCTTCATGTTTTGCAAATATTTTCCACCTCCATTTTTATTTTTATTAATATTGAAATGACTTTGGTTTAGCATCATCGACTAACTTAGCACCAAGTAAGATGTAATTAACCCCTCAAAATCATCATCCAAAGTATTTAGATAGACCTAATCCCAATCCCAGGATGATTAGAGCATTGCTTTAGTCCATCTGTAGGTCATCTGACAAAAGTAAATTGAACTTAGTCCATAATTCTCCCACTCCTTACCTAATGGTAGCAAGTAATATAACAGCAGATATGATTGTTTTAAGATCATCATCGTTAGAGACTTTTTTTTTTTCCTATTAAAAGAATGGGTGCTGTTTTTATACTATTTCTAGTGGACTAGCATCTTCTTACTTTCTTTTGGCTTTAGAAAAGGAATCATTAGCTATGCCAGCGAATTCATTAGCTAATTCATTGAAAAGCCAAATTCATTTAGAATTCATCTGAAAAGAATTGAGACGCTAGAAACTTCTATACATATCCATTTTTCCAAGCGCTTCAGTCCCTTGCCTTTATAATCAATATGCCATATTGATAAAATTTTAATTATTCCTAAATGTGCACACCTGGGTTGATTTTCCTTATTTTGCTGTAAAAAAACAAAATCAGCCCACTAAGTTTAATAGTTTCTTTTGCTCCATTCTCTTTGAACTCAAGTTTTCTCCTTTAAGACAGAGGGATCTTACTTATTGTTTCATTTTTAAAGAAAAAAAAATTAAAAATCAAAGAGTGAAATAAAATATTATGTTTTGTTAATAATTAAGCAAAGATTTAAAAGATTTTATAATCAGCTTGCAAAAAAGTGTTATTTTAAGCAAACTCACCAATGTACATTGAAAAAGGCATTTCAAAATTATAATCATGCATGAAAAGTCCAGCAACCAACTAGGGTTATCTAAATGTGTCTGACTCTCAGTGCTCCTTCATGCAAATAATAAAACCTCCGCTTTTGTGACCTCCTAAGTAATGTCGATCCATTCAGCCTGCTAAGAAGTCAAGGGTTAAACTATCTTCCTGCCCCACAGTTCCACCAAGGTTATAATCTATGTGAAAAGATCCCAGGGATTCTGCCCAAATTAACTTACTTTTGGGTATTTACACTCTCATTTTTCTCATACTTTTGTTTTCCTGGTGTAATTGAGATGTAATAAACGTAGGACATGTTGCAAAAGAAAAGCAGGTGAATAAATACTCCCAAATCCAGCTCAAAGAGACTTCCTTTCATCCCAGCTTACTGGTAAGGAAATAGATTAGATCCACATTTTTGAACTCTCTCAGTCTAAATTGATAAAATTTAGAAGGGACGTGGCATACCCAGCTTAATTTAAGAAGACCCAAATAGGCATCAACTTTTAAATTAAAATGCCCACATGCACCCTTTCTCCAAAAGGTAGCGGCACTATGGATGGAAGAAAGTAGGTGAGATGGCTCCAGCTGTATGGTTCTATAGCTTTAACTCCCAAAACATCACACACAATTAAGCAAATATTTAGGGCACACAAAAGAGTGGAGTTATGATAGCCAGTAGCACATCACTTACTGAGAACCTTAACCTTAGTTTTCTGAATTTCAGAAATGGTTTCTTACTGCATTTTGGATGATATTATTTTCCCAAATACAAAGGCTGAAAAGAATAAGAAATAAGAAACAGAAAAGAACTTACAACTGATCGGATGTTATTTTCTTTCATCAGCTTCAGAGATGATTTATAGCAATTTGCAAGGTCTTCCTTGTGGGAACCATTAATATGACCTCTGGCTATTGGTCCTACGGTATGGATGACATCTGCACATGCAAAAGGAAGGAGAAATAGCATAAGCAAGGTATTTTTCACTTTTCACATAAATGGTGCTTTATTTATTGTAGATATTTGTGCTGGAGCCTGGAGACGAGCAAGCTAAGAATTATTGATGATGCAAATGCTTCTCTGGTAGAAGATTTTATATAGCACAGCTTCTTAAAGTAGGCAGTTGCCCAGGAAGGTGATAATTGTGAAAGGGCATCCCCTACCAGTAAATTATTTCATTGTTATTGGTCAGATCCTAGTGAGACAGATTATAATACAAGATGTGAATAATTGGCACCCTGGCAAAAGACAAACCCTTGGTGAGAAATAAACTGAGAAACAATTGCCTGCAAAATGACCATTCTGAATTGACATGGGAAAGAAGAACCAATGCTTCACATCACTTTATGTATAAATAAGACAAGAGTTCCAGGCATTGTACACAATAAAAAGGGGGAAAATTTCTGAGAATGTGCCAAGATAATTTGTAACAATCAGTAATAACCCTAAAAGGAATAACTTTAAAACATCTCTACCAATTTTAAAGGGCAACCTACCAATCCTCATATATATGAGGTATGCTAGGCATAATAGTCCCTAATAGTTACCTAGCTTCTATTGTTTACTATATTAAAACTTTCAAAAAGCAATCTATACTTTCAACCTCTATATTTAAAACACGGAATTAGATTTTTTTTTTTTTTTTTTGGCACATAAAACCAGTCATTGTGTTTTTTAAATACCTTTACACACATAAATTTTTTCACTTAGGAACATAATGAAATAGAACTGTTTCAGTTTTAAAGTCTGTAAGGATCACAAGAGAGAACTCAAATTATAAACCAAATTACTTGAACGCCTTGTAACATCTGTTTTCCAGTTTTAGCTGTTAATCTGGATTATTTGCCCATCTCATTGATGTAAGTAACAACAACTAATCATGTTTGATCAGAAGGACAAATTTGGTCTAATATTACTGGATTACTATAATGAATTGAAATCATTTGCTTTGTCCAACAGTACCACTTCATTTCAACAACAATGACAAGATAAGAACACATCACAAAAGTGAGACTATGGAACAGTCTTAAATTGCATAGGAAATTTAAATGGCAGAAAATAAGTCCCTAAGGGTAAAATCTTTGTTGTTTGCCTACTAAATACTCAGACTACTAAATACTCAGAATACTGAGGGTATTATCTGATGTTTGAGAAATCCTCAAAATGTTGATTAAAACCCTTGTCAGATAATATTAAAGATGATATCTTGTGATCAAAATAGGCAGAAACATCACCAGCGAGTTCATGCAGATGTTCTTGCACAGGCCAATGTTGCTTTAAAGTGAGAACCCCAATAACATAGGAGAGGACAAAGGGAGATTAGGTTATGTCTAACAAAAACAAAAACAAAACAAAACAAAACCCATCACACAGTGATATCATTTTTTTAATAATAGAGTAACACATAAGAGCCGTATCTATTGAAGCAATGCAAGTTCTCTACCAGATGTAGTGAATTTTTATTTGAATATTTCACGTTAGCTTCCATTTTGAACCAAATGCTAGAATACGTGAAGAAGGAAGGTTGTGCATGGCTTTACTTCATTTTCCCCTTCATGACTACCTGTTTGTGCCCAGCTACAATATTCTAAGTCCCCCAATGAATCCAAAGGGAGAGAAGCTGTAGAGTAACAACACAGGATTCTAGAGAATAACATTCCCCAAAAGTGGGTATGATAAGCTATGGGTTTAAAGGTCAATTACATTTGGGAATCACTGGGTGAAATTAAATCAAAACAGCTACCTTAGTGTAGGACTTTCAGGACATTCAGTATGCAACAATGGATTATGAATCTCAACTAGAGGAGATACAGAATGGAATACATTTGACTGTTAAAAACTATGTTTTACAGAGTACTTCAAGGGACTAAATTCCTACAAATTTACCTTTGGGAAATGTTATGCCAGGACAACTCCAGTACCCTCACTGACATCGTTAAAGGACAAATCCATGGGTTTTATTTTGTTTTCTTCCCTTGTTCCCAAATGCCTCTGTACCTCAAATACTTAATACACAAAGAAGCAACAAGGTATTGTTGCTTGGATTCCTTATAATATGGATGGAGAAGGTCAAGAATAAGTGCCTCTTATCTGGGGTCATACAGATGTGTCTACTTGAGCCAAGTAAAAACAGGGCTTAGGGGCATTAATGGGAAGAGGAAAGAGAGAGAGAGTCCATAAAAGGAGAAAATGGTGACATTTAAAAAATCCTTTTTCTTTGCTTTTCCCTGTAGATATCATTGTCCACATAACTTAAATGGGATTTATGAAAAGCTATTCCTTACATTTCTTCAGTTCTGCATTTAATTTAAAAGTCTGAAGACAAACAGCCAATCAATGAGCCTTCTCCTCAACATCAAAATATCGATCCCTGTATTTTATGCTCTATATTAAACTTACAACATCCAAGATCAAGTGTTATTATCGACCAACACAATGACCTCTCAGATCCACAAAGCTGAAGGTGAATCAATGTGAGGCTCAAAAGTAAATTTCCTTCATTATTTCAATTGTTCATAGCACTTAGGAGTGATTCTTCCATACTGATAAGTTCCTCTTTTCCCATTATAAAACTCATTCAGGAGGTCTGCCTTCCAATTCCAGCTCCAGCCCTGACTTGCCAAGTGCTCCAGATGAAGCCACCCTTTTGCTGGCCCCTGTCTTGGTTTCCTTATCTGCAAAACAAATCAACTGCTTAGATGATCTCTGTGGTTTATTCTGTGATGTGTGGCCTCATTAACATTTACCTTTGTATCAGGGACAGATGGAGAACAAAATGATGCCTGGGCAGGTACAAGAGACCTTAAACAAGTGGCTTGCAAGTTTTGTGAGTATTAAGGATCCTTTTTCTAATATCAAAAATATCACAGACTACCCTTTCACAATACTAGCTTCAAAATCCATGGATGGAGAACAAGTTTGAGACAAACAGCTGTTACAACATCAATGAGGCTTTGCATTAATTTACATTTTGTTGAACACAATAGCATCTTGATAGTAGATACATATGTGTGAGATAAATGCATTCAATCCATAGATAATGCTTTCACTTGCACGTGAATTTGTGGATTCCTTGGTATAAATAAGATAATGTAAACAGAAGTGTTTAATTTGATTTCTGGTGCATATAGAAGCTCAATTACCATCACCACCAACAGCAGCAATATCCAAGATACCTTACACACACAGGCAGAAACGACAGTCATCATCTCTGTTCTGATATGGAAAGCATACCACACTTTAAGTCCTAAGGCCTGATTAAAAGTCAGAAGCCCCACATCTGTCACTAATTAGCTGTGTGACCTTGGACAAGTCACTCTCCTCTTTGGGTTTCCCTCTCCAAGTTAAAAGAAGGGGTTGAATAAGATGGCCATTAAGATTCTTTGCTGTTCTTGAATTCAATTCCTCTCCCGTTTGCCTATTAAGAATAGACCTATAGATTCTAAGTAGTCTAATTCATTCTTGTGCAGATAAATGAGCAGCACTTGTGGTTCAAGTTTCTCAAACACGCTTATACAAATAAAGTGCAAATTGGTCCCATCCCCAGAGACAGTGTTTTTTGTACCTATCAAAATTATAAACGTAGACTCCTCTTGATCCAATAGTTCTATTTCTAGGAATGTATCCTAGATAATATGCTTACTCATATGCAAAATGGCATTTATACAGGTCATTCACTATAACACTGTATATGACAGGCAAAGATTGGAAGCAACCTCAATGTCCATCAATAGGGGCTAGTAAAATAATTATGCCTTTATACAATGAAATATTGTGTTTCTGTAAAAAGAGCAATGAAGGTATTTACATGTGGTTTTGGAAAGATATTGAAGATATATTACTAAGTAAAAAAATGTGGAGAGGTATAATTAATATGCTACCATTAGTGTAAAAATATCCCACAGGTGAAGGAAAGAATATACTTTCTTTTTTTTTAGCTAATACTTGCATAAAACAACTCTGGAAGGAGTAACAAGCACTTAATTAGAGTGATTCCCTACTAGGGTCATGATGGAAAATGCAAAAATAGAGGCAAATATGGGAAGGAGACTTTTCAATGTTTGTTATATTTTTTTACATTCAAATTATATGAATATATTACCTACTCAACAATTAATTAAAGCATTAAAACAAAGGATACATGGTTAATTAAACCATGTTCCTGGATCCCATCTACCATATCTCTACGACATTCAAAGATTGTTACTGTGCTTTATAAAGATGATCTTACATCATTGTAAATATGAAAATATTCTTGAAAAAGATACAGTTCCAAGGGATTTAACAGAATGACTCCACTAGGTATATCTTTCCTTATTTTATTACTCTCAATAATCTCTTTATGTAAAATAATTATTTTCAGATAAAAGTATGGTACCAATGGTGGACAAAAGGGCATTTTTCTCCTATATGTTTAATATCTACCTTTAATATTTCACTACAATCTTAATATGCAAATTGAATCTTAGACACTTTATAGTGGAAATGTAGTACAGGCATATACATCTTAGGTATCTCAGCAATCAAAGAATTTTGAATAGTAGCTAAGAATTTTTGGAAATGAAAAGGACAATATAGAAAATTTCATCTGTTTTCCCTTGTTCGGGAACCAGACAGGGAGAATAAAATGTCCAAAGTTGTACATCAACTTGGGGAGATACAATATCACAATGGCAATGTGATTATAGATAAAGTTTTCCTAAGGTGCCTATTTAATTGAAGGAAATGACATACATCTGTATATATAAAATTTGGCATGTTTATCCTGAATCCCATTGCTTTTACCTCATAGTTTGTACACACTCAGATTCTGGTTAGCTATTGCTATGGATAAAAACAAAAAAACAACAATCCCTGAAACAAAACAAAAATAAACAAAAACTACCCCAAAATATGGTGGCTTAAGAGTGGTAACAATCATTTCATTATTTCTTATGGT